ACTAAGCCTCATCATTTCTTGACTCAATTTTTTTTCTCAATTCAAACCACCCTCAAATGCATATGATGCACGTGATGATTCATTTATCATATTTCACCAAATCACGGGTACCAAACCCTTCATTTTCATACAACATTTAGAATCATCGTGGTCATACAAGGAATACAAGACCTACCTATTAGGGTTAATCAATATCTATATTTGAGTCCTAGGAATATGTTGGAGTGCATTCAAAGTGGGATTTCCCTCATAACTCCGAAATTGAGCCTTAATGATCGAATTTTACTTCTAATAGATCTAGGTCTTAATTTTGATTCTTCTTATAATCTTACCTTTTCACACTTTATTTTATACTTATTTAGGTATCATTGGACCTTTACTTATGTCGTTGGATGATTGGAACTCAATTTCTAACGAGTTAGGGTTTAGGTTAAGTGTTTCCTAGTCTAAATCGAAAATTACATTTTTTCTTAGAATATAACCTTTCTACACTTCAATTTATATTTATTTAGGTGCATTTGAAATATTAATTCTCATGTTGGATGAATGGAACTCCAACCTCAAATTTTTGGATTTTAGGCCGAATGAGTCCAAAAAGGGCAAAAGATTTTCTTTTGTTTCTAGGTAATTTCTTTTCATCATAACTCACTACTTCTACTTTATCGGGTCACCAAGGAGTTCTAGATCTTTAATTCCATAAAAATAAATCCAAACTTGGTCATTTTGGTACCTATGCCGAATGCTTTTCTTAAGGATATCCAAGTCTATTTTGTTTTCATCCAAGCCCATCCATACACATGTCCAAGCCCATGTTGTTGTAACCAAACCAAACCCGTCCACACATATATAAAAATCCATCACATATGGATCTTACATGGATACATCAACTTACCAATCATCCATCATCATACTTATACAATCCAACATAAAGTTCACCATTAAATGCACATCAAGCCATCTAACACATATTACAAATATAATCAACATAAACTAACATATAGAACATAATAAAAAGTCTTCACCGACCACCCCATTTAAGCACATGTACAAGAAATATAGAGCATAACATAAAATAACATAAACCTACTTACTTTGCTTTAGCTTTCCTAAAGATTGTCTAAGCTTTCCCTTTTTCTTTTTCTCCTTTCTTTCTTTTCTTTCTTTTCCATCTTTCTTCCCTCTCAAAGCCGTTTCTCTCATCTCTTTTGGTAGCTACGAGTTTTGTATAGCTAAAAATGGCAAAGTTTACATCTTTCTCCCACTTTTATATCACACTTTTAGACCACTTTTTCCCTTCATTTATGAGTATTACATGTGTCAAAATTCTATGGTTTAAAATGTCAATTGATGGAGACAAAAAGGGAGGCAAGTTGGCAAAGTGAAAGTCAAAGTGGATGGTTGTAGATTTAGTGTCAAATCAATAACTAAAGATGGGTAACTAATAGGTAACTAAACTAACTAAACTAACCAACTTTCTAAGGTCTTTTGGTTTCCAAAAATTTAGCCCATGCACCATGTTTGGTAAATTCTTTCACTTGTATGGTCATTTTAAATATAATATTATGGGAAAATAAAGAATGACTAGTTAAATTCCCAAAAAGGCTATTCCTATGAATACTTTCATCAACATAAGATATTTTAATACCACAAAATAGAAGAGAAAGGGCATATAAATCATACCCACATAACTATGGATATTCCAAGAGATATTTTTCTTAAAAATTAAAATTTTGGCATATCTAAAAATATATATTATTTATTTATTTATTTATTTATTTATTTTTATTTTTTTCATAACTCCTCACATAAACACAAAGCATGTTATCATCTCCAAATATTAAAATGGCACGTAAATCACACCTAATACTTCATATATACGGATATAATATATTAGTACGTATAACTCGTGGTTAAGGAGTTTCACGAGGGTTACACATGTAGTTTATCTATCAGCAAAGAAGCTCCAATAATATTATGTAAATATCATCCATTGACTAATCCAATGGTAGTTCGTTCACTTGATATTAAAAAAAGACCTCTTTTCACCTCGAGAAGATAACGAAGAACAACTTGATTCTAAAGTACCATATATTAGTTCAAATGGTGCATTGATATATCTTGTTAATAATATTTGAACCGATATAGCCTTTTTTATAAATTTATTAGCAAGTCATAAGTTCTACTCCAATATAGAGACATTGGAATAGAATTAAACATTTTCTATGTTATTTTTGAGAAAAAATTGATATGGTATTTATTTTACTCAAATAAATCAAAATCGAGTCTAATTGATTATACATATGTAGGTTATTTATCTGATCCATATAAAACTTGATCACGGATGAATTATGTATTTACACATGATGATATAGCTATATCATGACGTTTTATGAAGGAAACTATAGTTGTTAGATATTCAAATCATCATGCGTAAATACCAATTTATGAGGCAAGTAGAAAATGTGCTTGGCTAAGATCAACAATCCATCATATCCGAAAGACATGCAATTCATCTACTAGCAAAGAAGCTTCAATGATATTATATGAAGATAATGTCGCTTGTATAATTCAATTAAAGAAAGAATACATCAAAGTGATAATTAGACAAACTTATTCACTAAGGCGTTACATACTACAATTTTTTGAGAAAATGGTTTGCAAGAGTGACATGGTCTTAAAACTCTTAAATGATGTTTTCAACAGGGGAGGCCCAACTCTCCCAACATAGAGATTAATGTGTACAATGAATATTATACTCTTTTTCTTCATTAGGATTTTTTTCCACTAGGTTTTTGTACTTAGTAAGATTTTAACGAAGCATGTTCTTTGTATGATGGACATTCAAAGGGAGTGTTATGAAATAATGAATGTCCATTACCATTTCGTATTCCCAGTACTTAGGTGATTCGATTCACAATTCAATATGAGAAATTGAAAGATTAATGCAATTTATTCAATTATTTATGTATCTTTTAATGTTTCATGATCCCTTCAAATTTTCTTCATAATCTTGAAGCCTATAAATAGGCTTGATTGTTTATTAGTTTGTTTACAAGTATTTTATAGAGTTTGAGAGATTATTCGAGTTGTTATTTCTTTTATTCACTTTATCTTATAATGATTTCATTTTCCTATCACTTTTCTCTTCAATTCTACTATTGTTATCATTTCTTTTATAACATTTTTTTTTCTTATGGAATAAAAATTATAAGAAAAAAAAAATTTAAAGCTCTAAAATTAAATTTATAAACTAGAATAGAATATGAACAAAAAAAAAATTACTAAAACAAATATAACTCAAAATTTGGGTTATAACAATCTAAGACCTAAGTATTAACCGAAAATAAAAATAAAATGTGTAAATTTAATTATTTTGTCATAAGAATGAAATTGAAAAAATAAAGCAACAATTGATATAAAAAAAATTGAATAAGAATTAAAAAATTTTAAATAAATTTTTATCCTTATTGAATATTGATGAGAAAATTATTTTTGGAAGTAATATATGTATATATATATTCCCAAAATAATCAATAATATTTTCATAAAAAAATTTTTTGAAAAGTATTGTATCATTAATTGTTTTTTTTTAATTATTATATTTGAAGGAAATTGATTTCAAAATTTCAAAAATTTATAAAAATACATAAAATGTTAAGTGTTCTGTGTGTATATATATAATCAATTTCCAATAAATACTTATGAAACTCGATTTCGATAAATTTTGATTATATAAAAAAAAATAAACAAAAAACATGATATAAATGAAATTGAAAATCAAAACAAAACTTATAGAAAAAAATCAGGGATCAAAATAAAAAATTTATTAAAATTTTCTATCAAATACATGAACAAAGTCTGAAAATCAGGACAATAAGATCATAAATGGAGAAACAAAAACTGAAAATCACAACAATACCATTATATATACATAAATTAAAAAAAAAAATTACAACACTACTGAATGAATAATATACATACAAAAAAATTATAACAATGCCAGGTAAATAGCAAATATAAATGTAAAAAAATAATAAATTGAATAGTAAAAAAAAACTCATCTCTTTTAGATTACTTGTTAATAGTAATCTTTCATTGTGGATTTGGTGCCTACAAATACAACATTGTCTGCGTGCAATGATCAAATACATATGGGGCCCTGTCCAGACGGGATGATATGTGGGCTTTGGCAGAACACAAATAAAAGGCCATTTTTATTTTATTTTTTCAGGTACATGGAAATAACTTAAAAAAAAAAAAAAAAAACGCCTCAAGAGAGAGGGATTCCCTTCACGCAACACATGCTGAAAATTGTAGGTCCAGTTTGTAGTTAGCTGAGAAAGTTAGCTGAGAACAAATGTGTCGGATGAACACTGGAAGCTTTAAAGGATATCAGATGCGACGAATGCTTCAACAACCACACTTTGGCATTGGCATTGGCATTGGCATTGGAGTCATGGAGTTTGTCTCATCTATCTGCACACTTAATTACACCTAAATCATTCTTCTGGTTTAACAACACTGATTAAGCAGTCTTTACAGTAGTATTGAAAATAATCAAATAATCATTTCAACGGAGTTGGCATTACAAATTTAATAGTAGTATTTTTTTTATCCTTGTCAATGCCTTCTTTTCCAATGGAATTTCCCATATCTTCTTTCTTTCTTTCTTTCTTTTGTTCTCAATAAATAAATAAATAAAATGAAAGGATTAAGTTATAAATTATTAAAAACTATCGAGATTAAATAGGTAATTTATAAAAATACAAGAACTAATAACTTAGTTTTGTTGTGTATTATATTTTTCTCACATAAAAATTGCTCCCCCCAATCTCCGGCAGTCAGACCAGACCAGAGCCACTGCTCCTCGTTACACCGTTTCCCTTAAAGAGTCTCTCTCTCTGTCACTCTCTCTGCATATGTATGCATAATCAACTGAATTTATAGTCTTCTGTTCGTGAGGAGTCAAGTGAGGTTGTAGTTTGTTTTTGGAAAAAAAAATGGGTCCTTTAGCGTTGGCCGTTGATGCAAAAACCTCTTCCAAACCCTCTTTCGGTAACCCACTTTTTTTTTTTTAAAGTAAATTTATCTACTGATTAAGCAGAGTGGAACCCATTATTTTTTTTGTTGAATTGAATTGAAAGCTTTGTTCTTTTTTGGTTTTGCAGATGCAACCACTATGAAAATGCAAAAATGTTCTAAGCCTTTTGCATCAATCAATGCTAAAGAAGATACACCATTTGATTTCTTGCGTATTTTATTGGGTATGCTCCTTTAATTGTGTACTATTGTTATTTATTTATTTATTTATTTTTCATTTTTGTCATATAGTTTATTTTCCTCTTAATTTTTTTTGGCAGAGGGAGTTATAGCAGGAGGTACAGCTGGTTTTGTTGTTGAAACTGCGTTGTATCCTATTGATACCATAAAGACAAGGCTTCAGGCAGTTTAAACTATCGCAGTCTTTGTTTGTTTAGTGTTTGAGATGGATATTATTGTTATTTGTCTTTCTTACTGCTATTTTATACTATCTCATTTCTAATGTTTTAGATTCTTGTCTTGCCTTATGGTTTGATAGATTGGTACTTAATTTTGCCAATTTGTTAAGTATTTATTCCATCTCACTGGATAATAACAAGAATGCTTTGGAATTTACTGTTTACAGGCGGCTCGTGGTGGTGGAAAAATACTGTGGAAGGGTCTTTATTCTGGATTGGCTGGAAATCTAGCTGGTGTCTTACCGTAAGCATTTTTCAAGAAAGTTCTCTAGTTTATGGGTTCAATACACACATATGTGCCATCTGCATGCTGGCCCTCTCCTATTGTGTTCATTATTCTTGTACTGATCATGCACATTGGATAATTAATGCTCCTGCACTCTAGCAGGCTTTCGAGTTCAAAAGCTTGGCATGTCCATGGCTGATTTTTTGTTATTTTATTCATGAAATTTCATTAAAAGAATTAGTTCTGATAATTCTGTAGGAAAGTTGATCCAATCTGAAATAGTTGTGTGGTGGGGTGTGTGACTGTGCATGCATACATGCTCTCTCCCTCTCTCTATGTCTGTCTGTAGTAGTGTTGATGTTTAGTGTTTAGAATTCGAAATTCAAAAAAGCTCAGGTTGCAATTATGCCACTTCGTAGGTTGCTGCCCAACTTTTGTTATTGTTAAAAACTGCAATTAAAATATTTAAACTGAATGAATATGCTTATAATCGCATGCTTTAATTGTTTGATGAACTCAACAAAGTTTTAGGGGGTTGGAAATAATATACTCTTCATGCAGAGTGTTCATTTCCTAATGGGAGTATTTTCATCTTTACTAGTAGGTTTAGGAATTGAGTATGGACATTCCTTCTGTTCAATTTTGATAATACGACTCTCTCTTTCAAATCTATCAACTGCAGGCAAGAAGTGGAAGAAATAAATATAATTTCATAGGAGGTTCTCAAGTGTTAATGTATTGTGATTGATCAACAAAACAACTCTAGATGAAGTTACATGACTTGATCAATTAAACTTTAAGATCTTGTTCTGTGAAGTTCTTTTCTTCCCTATATGCTATCTTGCTCTTGGTTCTCAGTTAGTTGGTAATGTTTCTTTCTTTCTTCTTTTTATTTTCATTTTTTTCTTCAGAGCTTCTGCATTATTTGTTGGAGTATATGAGCCTACCAAGCAGAAATTGCTGAAGATGTTTCCTGAAAATCTTAGTGCTGTAGCTCATCTGGTAAGATTCTATCTTCTGTTTTCAGATCCCTTTTTATGAATATCCTTTTCTTGCAGTAGCATATAAGGTTGTTGACTTTTATGTAGACTGCAGGTGCCGTGGGAGGGATTGCTGCTTCTCTCATTCGTGTTCCAACAGAGGTACATATTGTTAACTTATGCATCAACATTAAAAATAATAAAAAATTGCTTTAAGACATTATTACTTGAAATTAATCAATCCGCAGGTCGTTAAGCAAAGGATGCAGACGGGCCAATTCACCTCAGCCCCTGATGCTGTCCGGCTTATTGTCTCCAAGGAAGGTTTTAAGGGTTTTTATGCGGTATGTTATGGCTCCTGATTAAAAACCAGAGATACTCATGTTTGCTTATAATCTTAGATCTTAGATCCCTTGATTTCTCTGAATTAGCAAATTCAAAGCTTTGATTTGCTTTGGTCCTAATAAGTTCTTTTTCAGAAAGATTTTTGGCTTTTTATTATCCCATTTATGCCTTTACCGTTGTACTTTATAAATCCTTCTGTATTTCTGTCTTAACGTTCTTTTTGAGAGTGCAGGGATATGGATCTTTCTTGCTGCGTGATTTGCCATTTGATGCAATTCAATTCTGCATCTATGAGCAGCTACGGATTGGTTATAGAGTGGCGGTATGCTTTCACCATGCATTGTTATTTTGGTGCAATCCTTCCATTGCTTTGTCCTTCAACTTAGGACCTAATTACAGCAGAAAATATACACAATCAAATAAAGATCCTAGAGCAGAAATCAATGGATTTTCTACACGTTCCTTACTTGGCATATTCTCCTAATTAATGATAATACGATAATAAGGAAAGAATAATAAATGAGAATGATTCCATTGACAGCTTTTTAGTTTTTAATGCATGATGAAAGCTATGCAATTTTTTTGTGCTTTGTTCCTGATCCAGAGATTATTGCCTGTCACAAATATACATCTATCTTCTATATATATATATATATATATATATATATATATGATTGCGGAAGTGAGAAAAACTGGTTTGTATTTTGTTTCACCCAAGTAGAGAAGAACTCCCAAACTATGATGCTATGTTGGTTGAAAGAGTTGCGTAGAATTGAATGATATAATGAGTCAGATAAATTAGATTCATGCATTGATTTGTGTAACTTTGTTCATTGCACTCTTTACCTGAAAACATTGACTACCAGAAGGCAATAAATTAATCTCTTCTGTTGAGAGACGAAGATTGAAAAGATGATATATTTGGAATATTCAATTATTTATTATTATGATAAATTCCAAACTTATAACATAGTTTCTATTACCTAAAAGAATAAACCTGCACAGCACGTGGACATTTAAGTAGTATACATGAATATTTATATATCTATGTATTTAGATTTATATTTTATGCTTTTTCTGTTTCGACAGGCACGAAGAGAGTTGAACGATCCTGAGAATGCAATGATTGGTGCTTTTGCTGGTAATATTGAAATCCTGATTTTTTAATTGCCGCCTTCAGTCCTTCATATGATACTCATCCTGTCATTGAATTTGATTCGCTCATCAAAGGCTTGGTTGAGGAACCATATACCAGCTGCATAAAATTTAGTGAATAGATTAAAAATGCGAGAGTTTAAGAGGGAAAGGGGGCAAAACAATTTACTAGTTTTGCATGTACAATGTGATAGCTCCTGATTGGCATGGGTTGAGATGGAAAACTGCTGGTGAACGGTTGAGATGGAATACATGTATTTTTCAACAGTTTCTTTTATATATCTTCGAGAACAGATTGCCAAAATGAATCCCATTTTGTGCAGACCTTACTCCCTACACCTTCCACCGTTTTTCTTTTGCTATGTTCTCAATTAAAACGTTTTGAAATGCGTGCGCTGTAGCAAAACTATGCATAAATTTGAACTTAATGAGACTGCATTTTGAATATTAATGGTTTGCAGGTGCACTAACTGGAGCCATAACCACCCCCTTGATGTGATCAAGACAAGGTTAATGGTTCAGGTATGGACAACGGTGTTCTTCATATATTTGTGCCATTTTTTTTTTTTTAATGAACTCTGCCTTGTGATATTATTATTATTATTCAATGTAGGGATCAGCTAACCAGTACAAAGGCATCGTTGACTGTGTTTCAAGTGTTGTAAGGGAAGAAGGACCCACTGCTCTTCTAAAGGTGTGAATCTCTAACGTTTCTTTCGCTTGCAAATCGAGTCTGAAAGGAATTTGCACTTAAAGTAGGAGAGAGGAGATATTGTGGTTAGAAATGAGCGCTGTGAGAATGAAATTTTACAGACTCAGGTTAAAAATTGTTCCATACTGCAGGGTATAGGCCCGAGAGTACTGTGGATAGGCATTGGCGGTTCCATCTTCTTTGGTGTCTTGGAAAGCACAAAGCGATTGCTTGCGGAGAGGCGTCCAATATCCAACCTACACCAAAACCCAAAGCAGGATTAATTGAAGTTTAACCCTTTATCAAAATCCAATATCCAATACCATCCTATCCCATGCACCTGCCTGGACCATTAGCGATGGAGTGCTACCCTTGACAGGAGCTTTTATCAAAATCAATTGAAAAGGAGATTTATTCGTGAATGTAAAAACCCTTTGGCGGGGTCATGCCATCATGATTACAATGAAAACTTATTTATTTATTGAATCAAAAAAGAAGACTTGTTTATCCTCATTATTGGAAAAAAAAAAAAAAAAAAAAGGAAAAAAGGTTCATTCTTGTATACCAGAACTCAGGATGAAGGTGTTAGGCTTGCATGCAGCTTGAAATTCTTAGGAAGGCAATCTTCCTACGGGATAAATGCATTATAAATACATCAAATTTTAACTTTTTTTCAATCTATTACATGGATTTTATTTTATTTTTTTATTTCAATATGATAATTTCTTAAAAATTATCAATCAAATACTTTTGTTAAAAAATATTTATTTTTTAATTTTTTAAGAGTATTCTAACATTTTAAAATTTGATAAAGAATTAAAAAATATTTTTTAATTATAAAATTTTGTTCGAAACTTAATTAGATTTAGATAAAATTTTTCATCAAGAATATTTATTATTTATGAGCATTGAAATAACAAACATGTTATTAATTAGGAAAAAATTGATGGAATTATTCGGTTCGAAAATAAATACAGACACAAAATCACATCCAAATCAATTAAAAAAATGATAAGAATATTTTTATCTAAATTCAAATTTTAGTTTTTTAATTCTCTTTTCTATTTATATCTACATTTCTTTAAGCTGTAAGTATTGTTAATTACTTATAAAATAAAATAAAATTTCTTGTTTTATGTGCCAACAAAATGATGAGCCTTAAAAGTCGCTATATTTTGCATTGCCGTTTCGTGAGGGATTAGTGGAGCAGATTGTTCAATTAAGGTGGAGAATCTTAGGTCTTCTCTAATAGAATTACCTTTAACTGTTAATCCAGCGGAATTTTACGATTTTGCCCTTCCTGTCTTCCCCTGGCCCAGTGGACTTTGGATAACACAGTAAGAAAATCTTAACTGCGGGCGTCTCTTGGGGACTTCTTCACCGTCATGTTTTAGAGGCTTATTCTCCTAGTTCTTTTTAATAGATCAATATAACCTTTTCTTAACTAAAATTTTTTTCTTCTGGGAATCCATGTCCCCTTTGTCCTCCGATACACGAACCATCTTCGGTATACACGTTCATCTGTAGGCATAAGAAAGATCAACATACAGAACCGTCTCGTCTTAAAATAAAAATAAAAATAAATAAAAAAATTTTGCAACTTTATATTGAACCAGAGATATTGACATATTGTACATTTGTTACAAAAATGAACTTGGCCTCACTCATGGCATCATTGGGTGATAAAAACTTGCCCCAAATTGTACACCACCAAAACGCAAAAAAAAACCAATCCAATTTGCACAGTTTCAGTCGTATAAACTAATTGAGCTGATCTACGTATATTCCTAGTTCTTCAAGCCACCATTCTGGATCACCTAGCCTGTTCAATCAAAGTTGGAAAAGAAAAGAACCCTTCCAAACTCTTTCGCTAATTTACAACTGTGCCAGTTTCCGGTCTTTCATAACCACCACCTTTACACTCCCGTTTTTCACATCAGGGGGAGGTAGGCACCGCCATGCCCTCTCCTGAGGACAAGTGGTGCAGCATTGTCAGGGAGCTTGTCCAATGCTTTCATACATACATCAATGACGTCACTAAAACCAGTTGCTGAGATGGCCAGCTGCACCTTTAACCTCAAATCCCGAGTCCTCTTTAACAAGCATCTAAACGATCTCCCCAGATATTTAGCCCATTCTGCAGGTAAACCTCCTCCAGTCAGCCAAACTGAAAATTGGGATTGGTCACCTCTAGCTGCTACCTCAGCCTTGTAGAACCTTGCCAATTCCACAAGCATTGATGGCTGAAGTGGAAGTACAGCCACAAATTCAGCAACAAACTCTTCTGTTAATTCTGGTTTTAACATCTGATTCCAAAGTACCAGTGCCCACTCACTTGGCTGGTTAAGACCATAGGCTTCAGCAACAATTAAGGCCTCCTGGAAACATGATTGCTCAACTAATAATCGCCTGGCATTGGTTTCAGACAAGTTGAGCCACTTGCAATCTGGCATTCGAATTTGCAGGGAAACAAGAGATGCATGAGCACAAGCTCTGCGAGTTTTATTGCCAGCATCAATGGAAGAGTGAACTTCGGCTGCTTCAATGAAATATCGCATTGATTCAAGAAGGTCTTCATTCTGGTCCTTGTCATAACGGTGAAACCACTGCTCAGAAGACTGCCATGCTCGTGACTCTAACAGAGCAGCAGTTTCATGCTTCATGTCAAAGTGGTTATAGACCTGAAAAGGAGAAGAAAATGCTTTATCCAAAATGAAGAAATGGATATATCACCAGATTTTACAATTTAAAATGCATCTCATTGAAATCTCACTCAAAGCACCAAGCCATGTCTTAGCATGCAACAGATAGTTAAATGAAGTCAAACCTAGTTTAGGTCCTGCCAAAAAGCAGGTTGCAACTCAAACCTGCATGCTTGCCAGTGGCAACCTGAGACGCAGTCAATTTTACCAGAAACTGACCCTTGGGAAAATAAATATGGATTCTGTCCCAAGTCTAGTGCTGAAAGAGATGAGCTGAGACAATAAGCCAAGAAAAGCTGAAGGAAATAGAATTCCATGCTAGGGTGACATTGCAAGTCATGACTCTTACACCATATAGTTGTGATGTATCTTCATACTTTATTCAAGAGACTTCATATCCTAAATGTAAGAGTCCTACACTAGATTTTTAAAGGAAAAAGTGATCAAATACAAGTATGAACTGCAGCCTCATATGAAAACTATTTCCAAGGAATCTAATAATATGGCATATGCATCCTACAACCGTATACTCAACTAAATAAGGGCTTAACCACCAAAAAAATTGGAATCAGCTGTAAAGATACTCTTCCCACAATTACCCTGTTTAAAACTATATTCTCTATAAGATGCTCAGAAACCAAATTCTTTTTCACTACAACCTAAACCATTTTAGGCTGACCTTATAACTTTCCGTCTATTCCACTTTATTTAAATTTTTTTTCTTTGAAGGATCTTACTAACTGCTATAATAATTTTTCACAACCCATAAATAATGCTCACTCCACAAAATAATGAAATGAAGAACATACGAACCATAGCAAATGCATCATGATCTTTGGGGTTGAAATGTTTCAGTGATGTAAGAACAGCCATCCGAAATCCTCTGACAGCTTCTGCAGTTTCCACGTTTGTCTCTGCAGCAGCTGAATACTTCTGAAGAAGAAGATCCAGCTGACCATTTTCCATGAGAATGCCAAGAATGAAAATAAGGGCATGGAAGTTTCCTACTCCAGTAATCAGGCGAGCCAAACATGGAAAATCCCCCTCAGAAACATAAGCTTCCACCCTGGTGGCAGCAAGGGCTACAAGCACATCAACTCCGTCGAGGCATGCAGATGATTTGTAGAAGTGGTGTGACAGGATAAGAAGCTCAACCTAGGGGGGAAAAAAGATGGAAGAAAAAAAGCTTTCCCAGTAAAATAAAAGCTTTTGATTACCAATAACAGGATTACACAAAAGTAATTTGTCCTTTTTATCTTCCATTTCCTTCTTTGGCAAAAATAATATCAACCTGTCACTTCTATATGACTGCAACTACCATTAACAAAGTCATAGCAGTTGTTGAAAATTATAGCCATTAAGACACATAGGAATACTATCAACCCTCAGTTATGAGGACAATACCTCACAGGCATGTGGTATTTCTTGTCCAGTAATCACCAACCGCATCAATGCATGACCAATTTCAGGTTCAGAAGGACAAAGCTCAGCCCACTTTAAAAAGTCAGAAAATCTCCACAACAGAGGAGCAGGTCCTTCCTCCTTCTGAGAATCCATATATCCCCCACGATGTGCAGCCAATAGACCCTGTAATACATCAGCAATGCAAATAATTTACATCATAGACAAATAGTAATAAACTGAATATAGCTCCATTAACTTCATGCAAAAATGGGTACGGTATATGATGTACATTCTCCAGGTATGTTGCCCAGTTACACATGAAAAAAAAGGCTCCTAAACTTATTTTTTTACTCCAAGTTTGTCAAACAATCTACAAAACCAACTTGGATCAAACCAGAAATATCATTTTTAGTCTATCAATCAAGCAAAATCCCATCCTACTGCAAATGACAGAAACCTATGATATCAATTTAAGAATCAAATAGGCCAAAGAAAATAAGGTACGTAAGGGAAAAAAGACACCAGACCTTTAGAAAGGATTCTGCAAGAATTTGAGCAATACGAGCAGCTGGCATGGAATGAGTTTGCACTATGAGAGATGCTTCTTCAAATGACTCTTGTGCTTTAAGAGCAAGCAGCTGGAGCAATTCGATTGGCTGCTTTTCAAATGCCTCTGGAAAAGAAAGACCCAAGATGTTTGCAGCTTTTACAACTGCTATGATTCTCTTACACAGTCCACGTCCACTCCCTTCAGTAAAAATGGTTGCTAAGCCCTCCAAGACCTTCATTGGCATAGTCAAAAATTTAGATCTAAGCGTCTATTATGCAACAAGACACCACATGGGGCATAGTTACCAAACAGCAATGAAATACAAATGGGCACTTAGAAGGAAAACAGAGCAATTTAAATTTTCATACCAATAAACAAGCATATTTATATAAAATAGACCACCAAATTTGAGAAAAGAATAAACATCTGATATTTGGACAATAACCTGCAGTGGATCAACCAGATGCTGCTCAGTTAATATATTATGAGACTTGACAACAGAACGCACTTCCTCGTCAAGCATTGATATGGATACTTTGCTACCAGGAGTTGACATAGCTGCAAGTTTTAGAGCAACATCAACAAGTATAAACTCAGGAGGGGTGTGTGCAGGAGACAGCTTATATTGAAGTTGTTTGGAAGCTGTTATTTGTCCAAACTCCAATAAAGAAAGAACAGCTCTTTCCAGCTCTGCAGGTCCAACCCTTTCCTCCCACTTGGAAAAAGACATTTCTATCTTTAAGTTTTCATCTAGCAACGGCAAGTCACTTCTAGAAATGAGATTAGCAGAACCATCTTCAACCTCAGTACTTTTATCATTGGGCTCCATTAATGGTCTTCGTGATAGCGCATTGCCTTTGGCTCTCCGTTTTGTCTTTGTACTACCCCCTGTTGTCTGAGTGCTGGAATCCAGTACCTGATTTTTGTGCTGTGTCAAGTTATTTTCCCTTGCATCTTGTTTCTCTGTAGTTCCGCTCCTCATTGTATTGATATGATTGTCCATCTTTGTTATTAAAGTTGCTGTCCTGTCAATGATATTGGAAGTATTTCCAATTACAGGATCCTGACTGGAAGTGGTTGAAGTAAAGTCTCCATTACTCTTTGCCTGGGCTTCTGATTCTACTGCCAATAGCCATACTCTAGTCTCAATTTCTCGCAGAAGGTGCATTGGATAAACTCTGATAAAATCACCATATTGGTCAGAGACAAACACGTTTTACTAATAGAAGAAATGGAAAATTGCATTTGTGATTGAACACTTACGGATTGGACAGAGTTATCATCCCACTTAACCACTGAAGTGAAAGCAGCAGCAATTCATGAAGCTCTCTAGCTGGAAGGTCCTTCTCGACAGCTTCAGCATGTTTAAGGAAAAATAACCCGGCCTGTAAATCATGTGCACATGATCTCAAAGCATTAGTAGCAAGTTGCAAAACATGATTCGCAAAGATGACAGTTGCTGATGAACTACACCTGTAAAGGAGGGAAGGAATATCTAATGAACAGAGTCTGACAGTGGCTCCATAAAGCAACTCTCTCTTCTGGAACATCCCAAAGGAACTCCTTCCACTCAGCTACCATGGATTCAGCCTGAAAATTAAGGGAGGGCACCAAGAAAAGTGTGGAAGTCAGGAGTCACATAATAATACTACTACAAACACTTGGACTTCTGATTATGAACATGAAAGGGGGCTGGTATATGTTAATAGCATCCATCCCATCAACGCATAATCAATTTCAAAATTTGAACATTGTAACAAAAGGCAACAAACAGACGTTAATTCAATGAAACTACTCAACTGGCTTAAACCCTTCCAAAGAGAGACTTAATTCAATCAAAGACATGGAAATCCATTCTAGAGCAATAATATTCTTACTGAGTAACATTTATTGGCAAAAATAACATAACAAAGAGAGCATATACCCAAGTTGCTTTACTTCTACAATTTACACTTGTTTATGAGGAAAAAAAATTAAAATAATTATCTCAAGTCACATCCACAGAAAACCTTGGAAACAACCACTATTTTTGTAAACATGGTATACCTGAACTTCAGTAACATGATGAAAAGCAGATTTCCAAGGTCCACCGCTGGCATCCAACTGCCTGGCCCAGTTACGTGCTTGCTCCCAATGCCCATTCTTTTCCAATGCTTCTAAAAGTGAAGCATCATCCAAAGCCTGATTTCCAAGATGTAGAGCATCATCCTTCCGCAGTAACGGCTCAGCTAAATTGATTTTCCAGTAAAGTCGTCGATAATATGTTGCGGCAGATCCACCATCACCAAAGTCTGCTGCAGCAAGAAGTTGTAACAAACATCTTTTTTCATAAGGAGATGGACATGTTAAAAGCATGGCATTGGCAGCTTTTACAGCAGTGGAGCTTATCCACGAAGTTCCAGCCTGCCCTTCAATTCCAATGTTTGCCTGCATACTGGATTGTTCATCCTTTATCCTGACAGAAAAGGAACCCAGATGGGCAGAAGCTTCAGATAGGCGCATTTGAGAAAATGCCTGGAAGGAAAGAAAAGAGGTGAAGTTTCTGTCAGGACAGGGCAATCCCAACGATTTCAATGTTTTCACGACTCAAGCCAAGAAAAAATATAAATATTACCAAAAAGGAAGAAAAAAAAAACAAGAAAGAAAGGAGATAACCAAGCATGATATGGTTGGCCAGCAAAGGTATTCCACAAAATAAAAATAAACCCCATTGTCTTTAGCTTTGTATTTAAATAAGTTCCCATCCTTCCCACCCTGTTTAGGTCAAGGTGCTTTACAATGGTCCAAACTTTCATGCACATGCAAACCCGACATACACAAATCCATAACACACAATCTGATGCCAAAAATCAAGCTTGGGATTCTGGTTCTCTAAAATTGAACTTTCATTAGCTTCGCATGCATTTGGGACAAGGAGATGAGAACAGAAATTAAGAAAGAGAACAAGTGCAACTTGGCAGAATTTCATTCATGCTCTAATACAAATGCAGGTCGTTTTGAGCAGCCCTTTGCGCAACAATCTGAAAAGTTTAGATTTCAGTTTGTAAGATTCTTTTTGCATGTACTTAGTATTCTCTATGCATCTAAATCTGGCAATGCATTGGACCGCATGTGAATGCCCTGATAATGGTGGTAGGAAACTAGGAAATGAACCTTTGGCCTCTCTCAGTGGAATCAGGGCTGAGAGTGCCAATTGTTGGACAGGTGGAGAAAAGGAGAAAGAAAGGTCAACTAAGAGAATAAAGTTCTCTTCATCCCAACAAATCATAAAAGATAGACAGTAAGGTGGGCTGTAAGTTTGTTCACAGACCTGAAGAGCACGGATGAAAGGTAGCAAGGAACACGAAGGAAGGAACATTTCAAAAGCCCTTAACAAAGGTAGAAACAACTGTTGTTCACAAAGCACTGCCACCATCTTAGATAGTGACACAGATCCTTCATCAGAATCACTTGACACATTAACATTTTCACCAAAATCTACTCTTCTTTCCTCTTCAGCAACTGTGCCTTGAGCAACAGTCCTTGTTGCACCACCATAAGTAGTTGAAACATCATCGACTTCAACCAATGGATCCACATGCATTGGCTCCATAAGCCGCCTGCGTTTTGCATTCTGCCGATTGTAATGAACTGTCAGGACCCTGCTACCTGCTGGCAGGGAATTCGTAGCTTCCACAGCTGCTCCAACATTATCTGCAATCTGGGATGCAATGTCATTCACCTTGATGGATGAAGTTTCCCTGTAAATATAAGTCATTTGTGAAATTTTTGAAGCATGCAGATATAATGAATCCACAAAGAAAACAAAACTCATGAAGAACTTCATTTCAAATACGAAACCAAATGCATGAATTGTCTCCAACCCAATTCTTGAGCATCTAAAAGCTTGAAAAGGTGTATGAATATAGATCTGCCAAGCATTATATCATTCGGACAACGGGATAACCTTGCTGCAGTAATTTCTAGCCAAACTGTTAAGCAGGACAAGGGAGACACATCAGGAAAGCATGATGCAATCATTGCCAAAATTGACCAGGACATCTCCTTTGCTTTCTTCAAGAGAGACTCTCCAGGATTTTTCTGCTTCTCACAATCTGCTAAAATTCTAAAGAGCTCAGCAGGAACAAGTATGTCTTCTTGGAAACAGTAAGTTTCACTCCTGCCTCCCCCAGTATCTGAATATGCTGGAGAACCAGATTTCCTTTTCGACTGCATGCCTTTTAAGACTGTTAATATATGAATTTTGAGACGTGGGTCACTGAACTCCTTGGTTGCCTGCAATATAAAATCATAACACCATAAAAGGGAAAAAAATTCCATCAGAATGGTTTTGTAGCATAACCTGGATTCTACAATTAATTAGGGGTAAATGACACTTACTACTTGGACGACCGTATCAGAAGGGTATCCTCCAATCTGAGCTTCAGACAGAAATCCAACCTTGTAGAAGAGAGGCAACGTAAGATTCGGAGTTGATGGAGTTTCTTAAAATCAAAATGAAGGAAACATAATACAGGCAAATCTAAATGTTTTTTTTTTTCCCTATGAAGTAGGGAAAAGAGAACTACCCAATCATTGTCTCTTGCTAAGAGAGCAAGGTACTTTGTGCTTAAGGGAAGTTGATGCATCTGACAGAAAAGTGTAACTAAATTCCAGTGTTGGCTTGCTACTTTTTGTTGATCTCTTAATTCAGTCCCATCACCACTACCACTCAGTAGCCAAGATCCACAAGTCTTTCCATCCATCATTAGTGGAAGACTAGCTTTCTCCAAATGCTGCAGGATTAGCATAAGTGCTCTTGAAGATTGTTTGCTAATGAATGAATTTGAAGTCCCCTTTAACTTAGTGTTGATTACACCATCCTTGTGTAGATATTCATCTGCAAGTGATCGAGCTAGAGACTCTATCACATCACCTTCACGCGATACCATGTGGAATGCAGAACCTTTAGGTGAAATTTGCCTATATCTCTCATTGTTCTCGCTCAATTTGTAAAATGATGATATACGTCTCAAGGCAGAAACATCCACACGTAGCATGCTGGCAGATAAACCACAAAGCTCTAGAAGAAAAGCACATGATGCAACCAACATAGAATCCTCAAAATGAGCAATAGCAAGTGGAATGACCTGAAAATTCAAGTCCCAAAAGATATCTTACAAATCACTTGACAGATAAACAAAAGTGATATTAACAGAGAGCTTTCTGCATGCAAAAGTCAGCTGTAGTAAATGAAAATTGATTGAATTGGCCTACATTAAAAGAGAATTTGCTCCATTATCGTAAGCCATAAATTATTTTAGCATGTAAATCATTTGCACTCAATATTTACGTAAAACTTTCAATTATGTCTTGCATTTAGACTGAAGTTTTTGTCTCTCACCTGAGCGTCATCCCCTACTTTGCCCTAGTTTCTTACAAATAGATCAGGTAGTTGTAATTGTTCTTACATTAGTTTTTCCTTCTGACGCGTGAAAGAGGAAGCAAATGATGGTAGAACAGACAGAGACTAAGGGATCTCAATTGTCCAACCAAAAACAAGGAATTCTTATGCCTCATTGGAAAACTATGGACATATTGTCCAATTCTCCAACCTTTAAGACAACAAGGCGACAAGAGTGGAAGCCTTAGAGAGGTTTAGATATTGATCAGAAGGAAATGATTATTTTTCCTACAATTCTTTTGATAAGCAAGTTCTGATTTTGAAGAAGCCTTGGCAGACTGCTTTGTTCAAGAACCTTCTCAGGGTCAGGGCTTATGCTATGCCCTTAAACAGTTATACCAGTCATAATATTGAACTTCCAGCAAAGAAAGTTGGCCCCTATATGAGTATGGAGAAGGGTAATGATATGAGCTCCCACAAACATGTTAGTTTTTAAACTCCCCGTGAAAAACTCCACCTTTTCAGGGATCCATGGTCAAGTGTTAAATGGCAATTCGTGCTGGATTTTGTTTAACTACAAATGGTAGCCCAACCACTGTCCTTACCGGGGGTACCCAGGTCATATTGCTTGTGATTGTCAAAATGTTGTGGAATAAGGAAGTCTCAAAAACAAGTTCAGTTACATTAGAAGGTGGAAGTTAAGGTAGTGGAGAGCCTTGCAAGATGATATGTAATCCAGCTAGAAGCAACACAGAATCTGGAAACAATCTAACATTTGACTCACAGGTAATGGAAGTAGGAATGATGACAAGGAAGAAACAAGGTCAGAGTACATGAGCGACACAAATTGGGAGATGCAGACGGATGAAGAAAATCAAGGCAAGAATTGAAATGATCAGTATTGAAAGGCATAAGGAAGATTGGATCAACTCCAACAGTAGAGAACAATCAGTCTCAGTTGAAAAAGAAAGCGTACACTTTCCGCTAAAGCATATAGTCTATCAAGGGAAAATATGCTCTCAAAAGTTTATCACTGAAAAAACATCCTTATCTCAAAGCATCATTGTGGCTAAATCATTTGTATGACCTTGATTTAATATCATGCGGACACATGCACTTTGCAGGCCTAAGATTTCTGTTATTGCATCAAAACAATAGCCTCATAACTAGCTATATTTGAAAAAATACAATTCTACTCATAGTTAATCCTTACCGATGAAAGAAAAGTCTCTTCATTTTGTGACAAAGGTGCAAGAAGTGCCTGAACATCAGTTTGAACATTTCGTTGTCCTTGTGACGAAACAACAGATTGGCCTTCTAATTTCAACTTTTGAGCTCTAACACTGAGGATATGGTTAAAAGCTGCCAGTGCACGTCCACGATGTAAATGTTGTTCAAGCCCAAGTTTAGTTTCCTGAAATCAATGCAACACCATCAAATATTCATCACCAAGAGAAACATAATGATTAAGACACAAGAATAGAGGTGTCAACGAAAAAGAAGATTCTCTTTTTTGTTTCAGGAACCAAAACAAAAACAGGAGGAAAGAAAAGTTGAAGGCAGTGTAAGCAAGCAAACAAAAAGTTCACACATTACAACAGCTCTTTCCAACAAATTAGTCTGCACCACCAAACAAGACTGCTTAAACAAAAATCCCAATCAATTGGGGTTCCTGTATTGTTTTTTATTGGCTCATACTTAGGAATACTGCAATTAGGAGCTACAACGTGTCATTGACCAAAATGAGAAGAACACAAAAGGTGGGAATTATTGTAGCATAACTTGCATGGTCAAGTCAGTGTATGCGTGTGCATGCAAGAACAAAAGTTGTAGACCATTAACCAAATTCTTGATACTATCCCCACAAGCTACAAACAAAAGATCAGTTCACTTTCTTCCCATTAGTATAGTTGTTGCACTAAAGAAAGCATTTCCAAAAGAAACTATTATAAATTTCTTTCCACTACACAGAAGCCTGTTTTAAGGAATAGAAGAATGAAACAACTAACATAAATTCTATAGAAAATAGCATTTCTAAATAGAAAATGGCTTCCCCACTTTTTTGCAAATTTGCCTACATACAGATTTAGTATTGCATATGAGAAATCTGTTATAAAGTTCCATCACAAATTGCAAAAGACATTTCAAAATACAATGCCTATGATAAAGTTGAATTCTCTAGACAAACTTCAAGAAGTTTTATTTTATGGACTCAAAAGCAACATATATATATACCTCAAGAGAAGAATCATACAGTTCCTCTTGGACATGCTTTTGGATAGTTGCCTCCCAGTAGACAGCATTTATCTCTGCATGTTCATCAGCAGGCATATAAAAATCAAAGTCTCTGTACAACAAAGTGTCTCCAGCAGGCAGACCTGACATTGATTGCCAACCAAGAGGACCCTGCAATATCATGAAAAGATCAAGATATATGTAAGCATTTCCAACAAAGCAAAGGAACAATCTAGTAGGTACACAGAAGTACCATGATATCTCTTAGGAAACCAGCACAGCATAAAGTTTAGTACGAGACCTATTTATATATTCATTTACGACAAAGCTGGAAATCAATCACAAAAGCAGTAAGAAACAAGATTCAGATTTCAGAGACATGGTGTAGCTCAAAAGCAACCTGAATATAAAGCTGAATCAACCTCCGCACAGTCTTAGGAAACCAGCATGGCAGCATCTGTAGGAGCGAAGTATCACGTGTAGTGGAGAAGAAAATGTTGTCACGCCAATTTACATAGTCTGCTAAAGCTGAATTGACAGATACATAAACAGCATGCATAAGAATAATCAGATACAGCAAACCAAAAACATCATTTGGCTGTTTTATGTCCCCCCATGGATTAACAAATAAAAGAAATATAAGAGTTTAACCTACCATTATTTCCCTTAGGACCTGAGAAATTAGAAGTTGTATCGAGACCAAAACTTGCTGCAACAAGAGTGCGCCACAGAGTAGGAAAACGCTGCAAAATGGGCCTGAGGTTTTCCAAGGTGCACTGAGCTGAGGAGCTACTATGCCTCTTCACACTACCACTACTCAGGCAATTTTGTATTGGGTCAGGGGCATACATTAGAGTTGCTAAAGCTGCCATTTCACCCCCACCTTCAGCTATATCATCAACCGTATGAATTATTTCATCGATCTCCAGAACATTGAGGCTGCTATTAGGAAGTAAATTAGGTGACATTATTGTTCGAGCATTACAGAATGATGCATCATATTCATTCCCCTTGATCCTAGATAAAAGCAACCATTGTGCCCATTGACAATCACCCTGAACAAGAAGCATCGCATGTAAATTGTTAAAGAATTATGATAATGTAGCAATATCAGAGAGATCCAGCATGATAACCAACACAATAAAGAGAGAGAACATAAATATTTGTCATGATTAAGTTATACTTGGAAGAAATAACTCTTGCAGTCCACTATTGAAGTCCATCATTCAAACTTAACAATAGCTTCACCAAAATAACCCATTTTTGGAGTAAAATTGAATTTGGAAGGTGAAAGACAGTAAACCATAATCTCCTCCACTGGATAATAAAGGCTCGATTTAGTGTATAATAGTTTTGGGAAAAGTGTGAAAATCATGGAACAGGAAAGAGTGACAATCTCACAGGCGTAATTGCAAGCCTGTGGAGCTATTGAACACCACATGAAGAGGCAAAAAACATGCACACTCTCTGTCCATTGCATAAAGACCATGAATGGAGCAGATAAATATTCTGCTGGACAATTATAAACCACACATTAAGCATTGATTTCACAACTTGCCAGCACACAATTGACTCGAGGAAAAATGGTTCCTTTTTAATCGATTCTTTGTAAGAGATCATTCCCAATGTAAATTGTGCATTTTGGTTGGGTACTACTCTACTCAGCAGTTCCCTAGAAGGATTGATTCCAAAACCCCAACTGAAAGCCACTAAAGGAAGAGACTATTTACAACTTTCCGAGTAAAAATGGGTTGCAAAAATATCCCAAGCAAAGCAATGATGCCTCTGTGTTGAGAATGTCAAAGATTTAATTTGATTAAATCTAATTTGATTTGACTTAGTTTCCTATTTTCTACATATAATTAAGAGCTATAAATGTAGGTTTGGTCAATGATCTAAATTAGAAAAATTAGAATGTAATTAGTTAATTTCCTATTCTTGTATAGTCTCTCCTATAAAAGACATTGTAATATCATAGTTGTAAGGAATAGAACGTATTTCTATCAATTCTACATGGTATCAAAACTAGGTCTGATTCTCTAGCCAACCTTCAAACTTTCTTTGTTGCCTACAGCCTTTAAAAAAAAAAAAAAAACCACCCTTATCTTTATCATGTCTGAAATCACATCTGAGCTCACACCTAGTGCGCCTGCATCAACCTATACCATCATTAAATCTAAGACATCCCACTTGGAAAACCATCATGTCCAGATTACCACAATCAAACTAAATGGTGAAAATTTCTTGCGCTGGTCTCAATCCATGCGCATGTGTATACAGGGGCGAGGTAAGATGGGCTATATTAACAGGTGATGCGAAGGAGCCAGCCAAGGGGGATTCCTTTTATGCAACCTGGGATGCTGAAAATTCCATGGTTATGACATGGCTTGTGAACTCGATGGAGGAATAGACCAGCTCCAATTACATGTGCTATCCGACAGCCAAGGAACTTTGTGAGAATGTCAATCAGAGGTAATCTGATTTAGGTAATCAATCCCAAATTGTTGAACTAACCTTGAAACTTGGTGACATTAAACAGGGTGATGATAATGTTACCAAGTACTTCAATCAATTGAAGCATTTATGGCAAGATTTAGACTTGTTCAACGACTATGAATGGAGGTCTACCAATGACTGCAACCACTTCCAGAAAGTGGTTGAAAGTAACTGGATTTACAAGTTCTTGGCTGGACTTAATGTTGAATTTGATGGAGTGAGAGGATGTTTCATTGGCAGACAACCTTTGCCATCTTTTGGGGAAGTTTTTTTAGAAGTTAGAAGGGAGGAAAGTCAAAGGAATATTATGCTGGGAAAGAAAAGTGCCACGGCTTTTCTGGAGAGTTCTGCTTTGGCTACAGGTGGTACTAATCAAGGCAGAAATTTCAATTCTACACAAACGCAGGATGACCTTACCAAGGTTTTGTGTGACTACTGCGACAAACCTCACCATACTAGAGAGACTTGCTGGCGAATTCATGGCAAACCAGCCAATTGGATGAGCAACAAACAGCATGACAAACCAATCCATGGGAATCCTAAAGCAAATAAGGTTGGATTTGTTCCTTCTAGTACTTTGAGTAAAGAGCAGATAGATCAACTTCTTAAACTGCTAAAGTCCAATTCATCATCTGGTATTCCTAGTGTATCTATTGCACACAGGTAGAAATCCTAATGCTTTTTCTTGTTCTCTAAATTCAATCTCTTGGATTATGGATTTGTGTGCTTCAAACCACATGACTAGCTTTGCTTTTTTTTTTAGTACTTATACACCTTGTACTCAAATGGAGTTTATTTTTACTATTGGAGCAAATGTCTCTTGATAATCAATTCCATAAGTCTGCGTGAAACCCTTAACGACGAGTCTTGCCTTGTACATGTCAACACTATCATCAAAATTACATTTGATGGTGAACACCAATTTGCATACTTCAACTTTCGTATCATTTGGCAAGTCAACCATTTCTCAAGTACCACTCTTTACAAGAGCATTCGTCTCTTTCATAACTGCTAACTTCCAATTTGGATGAGTTAGCTGGAATGAGCTGTAGTCTTTTCTATATATGTGATCTATTTACCATATATAAGTCCTTATATCTTGCCTATATATTATTAGAATGTATGAAAGAAAGACAATTCTGCATATTAACAACATAGTATCAGAGCCTCGTCATATAATTTTTCAAAAACCCTAGCCGCCACTGCTCATTTCTTTCTTAAAACACTAGCCGCACCACAGTATGTCTACCAAATGACATGTTACCATGAGGGCAAAAATCCACTCTGAAGCTTCAGCTCTAACTATCAAAAAGAGCACTTGTATAGCTTCTCGATCTCGGTTTTGCACTCACTGTTATAAGAGTACACATACAATTGATGTTTGATGGAAAAAGCATGGTTATCCGGAATGGTATAAACTCAAGCAAGCTGAGAGAAAAACAAAAGTTCTACTCAGAATGCTACTGCCATAGATACTACTACTCCATCTTCTGCTTCTCATTTATCTTGAACATCTTCCCAAAAAGGTATTTTTGGTTTATCCACTAATTCTATTTGTCTTAATACTTGAATTATTGATTCAGAGGCCACTGATCATATGACTAGTAACTTTTTTATCCTTGATTCTCTAACATCTCCACCAATTAAGTCTGTACAGGTTGCTAATGGGAACTCTATGCCGATCACAAGGGCTGGAAATGTCTCTTTCTCCGACATTTTCTACGTCCTCTGTTTTACTTGCACCTAGACTTCCAAACAACCTTCTTTCCATTAGCAAGATAACAAAGAATCTCAATTGTTCTATCATTTTTCACTATACTCATTATGTATTTCAGGACAATCTTATGAGTATAACGATTGGCATTAATAAGGATAGGGATAATCTATATTATTTGAAGGACAATCGAGACATAACAGCACCTACTCTTGGCTTCCAAACAAAGAGAGAATAATCTTATAGATAGAGAATTATGCTTCGACATTATCGATTGGGATATCCTTCTTTCTCTTATTTAGAATAATTGTTTCCTCAATTATTTTTCAAAATTTCTATTTCTAGTTTAAAATGTGAACAAGGCATTTATGCTAAAAACCATCGTGTTTCTTTTAAAGTCAGCTTTAATAAAAGCACTATTCATTTTTCATGTGTTCATACTAATGCATGAGGTCCTTTCACTTCTGCTTCAGGACATAAATATTCTCTTTTATTGATGATTGTACTAGGATCAGTTAGGTATATTTGATGAAATTTAAGAGTGATGTTTTTCATATTATTCCTCAGTTTTACAACATAATTCTCACCCAATTTAACACTACAATTAAAGCTTTTCATTTTGGCAATGGTCGTGAGTTTGTAAATCAATCTCTTGCTAAGTTCATGACACAACAAGGCATTCTTTCCTAGATAACTTGTGTTTACACACCCCAACAGAATGGCATAGCAAAACCTAAGAATCGCCATCGCCTTGAAGTGGCTCGAGCCTTATGTTTTACTATGCGTGTTCTAAAATGTTTTTGAACGGAAGATGTCATGATTGTTGTTTTTCTTATCAATCGAATGCCTGCTAGGATTTTTTATTTTCAAACTCCTTTAAGGATGTAATCTAGATTTCATCTTATTCCATCTGCTCTTAATATTTTTCCTAAGGTTTTTGGCTGTGTATGCTATGTTCATGTTCATTCTCTTCATAGAGATAAACGTGATCCCCATGCTATCAAATGCGTTTCCTTGGATATTCTAATTCACAAGAGGGATACAAATATTTTTATCCTCCTACAGGAACCTATTATGCGTCAATGAATGTTCAATTTTGTGAAAATGAGTCATATTTTTCTAGCGATATATCTATGGTTTCTTTTCAGGAGGATATTGCTAGTAAAAAGAGGAACAACTATGGTTGGGGGAAAAACAGATATGGATCTCAGGTACAGATAACATTAAGGCAAATAAGGAATCCTTAGTTTAGATGATCTATCTGTTGAGGAAAATAAAATTGAACTGGATTATGAGAGACCTAAGAGACCAACTCGTTTCTTTGAGAAGGGATATTCTAGGAGAAAGGAAGATATCATTGTTCTGCCTCCTAATTCTAGTACCTCCCTTGATGATACTATGAATCTTCTCGGACTGACATTGAGGCATGTACCCATTCTTTCGAATCTCTTGAAAATTCCAATCTTAATTTTAATATTAATCAGAATAAAAGATACCCTCTTCATGAAAGAAAAACAACTAATAGATTTGGTTTCTCAAAAACCTCCAATATTGTTTACCCAATCTCTATCTTTATATCCTATCACTGTTTGTCTAAAACTAATTTAACATTTACCCTTCAGTTGTTCTCTGTGCTTATTCTTAGTCATTTTCAGGAAGCCCTTGAAAATCCTAAGTGGAAGGATGCAATGGTAGAAGAAATGATGAGACTCCAAAAGAATTCTACTTAGGAAATGGTTGAGTTACCAATGGGAAAGAAGACTGGGGAGTGCAAATGGGTATACACTGTCAAATACAAGCCAGATGGGATAGTGAAAAGATACAAGAGTAGGCAAGTCGCAAAAGGTTATACCCAAACATATGGTATTGACTATCATGAGACTTTTTCACCAGTTGCCAAGATGAATACTGTTCGCATCATATTGTCCCTTGCAGTTAATTTGGACTGGCCTCTACGATAGTTTGATTTGAAGAATGCTTTTCTTCATGATGATCTAACAGAGGAAGTATTTATGGATCCACCTCCAAGATTTATACTGGAAGAAGGAAAGGTATGCAAATTAAAAAAAGCATTGTATGGATTAAAGCAATCACCAAGGGCGTGTTTTGGGAGATTGAGTCATTTAATGAAGGAGTATGGATTCAAACAAGCCTTGGTAGATCATACTTTGTTCTATACACATGATCATAATGATATTACCTTGCTTCTTGTTTATGTTGATGATATGATTGTAACAAGTAATAACAAATATGAAATTGAGAAACTCCGAAGCTATTTGATCAAAGAATTCGAGATAAAGGATCATACTTCCTAGACATTGAAGTCTCTAGATCTAAATAATGATTGTTTCTTTCCCAAAGGAAGTATACTCTGGATCTCCTAGCTGAAACTGATAACTCTGCCTAAGAGCCTATAAATACTCCTACTGAGGTAAATCATGGCCTGTCTATTTATCCTCATCAAATTCCAACAAACAAGGAGAGATATCAAAGGATAGTGGGAAAGTTGATCTATTTAACTCACACAAGGCCAAATTTAGCATATGCAATCAACACTGTGAGTCAGTTTATGCACAATCCAAGTGATCAATACATGAATGTTGTGAATCGAATTCTAGCTTATTGGAGATTGAAACACGGGACATACAGAAACATTTAAAATGACATACTTGTAGAACTAGTGTAGCAACAACATAAGAACGTAACAGCTTGCACGGTATCATTTGCAATAAGTGTAGGATAAGAATGATGAATATGATCTTACTGTTGGTGGGAATATAACCGGATGATAGCCTTCTCCACATTAAAGATAAGTACACATAAACAAATATATGACAGCAGTTAATTGCTTTTTCAGCAAACACCTAGGTACTGCTGTATTAAACAGTTAGCCTATCAGATAAGTGAAAATAAAATATTATCATTAAAAGAGCTGCTGGATACAGCAGTTAATGAAATTATATGGCAGGAAAGAGTAGAAAGTGCAAAAAACCCATATGAATGAACTGTACATAAGCAAAGAATCATAGAAAAGACCACATAAAAAGAACAATTAGAATCAAGGGGCATGAGGAAACTTACGGCAGCTTCTTGTAATGAACCAAGTGAATCAGTCTCTAGAACCAACTTGCGATGGTCAAGATAAAGGTCCAAAAGATTTGACAAGTTATATTGCACGCAGTAATGCATGAGCAATTTATGCAAAGCTTCCATGGGGACAACATCATCTCTTATATTGAGATCAGATGAAGCCTCAACTGAATAATCCTCCATTGTCATTTTATCAGGTCTTCTAGTTATGAGGCCTGAACGAGCTAGCAGAGCTACAATCTCAGCAGTGCCTTCCCAATATTCCTTCAAAAATATAAAATTCTTTGCAAGCTTCTGCTCCATGAGTGACCTTAACCACATGGAGCAAAATTCATTGGCAGGAAACCTGAAAATCTTGACCCCTGGAATATCAATGCACACAGAATCCAATTCTTCAATGGAGCATATATAGCTGCTGTACTCAGGAAATTCACAATTGCATACAGCCTCTGGAGCATGCTGTAAGTTGTCCAAAGTGATCTGGAGGCTTCCATCTGATAAAACAGATGTAGGTATGAGGTCCAAAAGTTTGGAAACTTCCTCACAGTCATTGTGGCACAGCTGGTACTCTAGTTGAGATTCCCACAATACATGAACACCCATAAGGAAAGGTTGATCCAAAACTATCTGTATAAAAGCAAAAAATTATGGAAGAGAATTAAAGTCCATGGTCAAATTAAAGCCTCACGGAAACTAAAAAAAAAAATAGTTAGCACAAATAACAGAAAAGAGAGCCTTAAAGTTCAATGTACATATAGGATTCTGCTTCATAGTTTACAAGTTTATATGTTCTGCATTAACCCTCTAATAGCCATATTTTGGACTGAGTTACAAATAGAACATGCAGCATAGAGGTTTGGAAAGCATAAAGTGAAAATGGAGAAAAATCATTGAAGAGCTAGCATAGTATGATAAGACCATCAGCTGAATTTTCTGTAGCACCTGACAAGATACCACTGAAGTCCCTTAAATTGTCAGTGTCAATGCCTCAACATTCTCAATTTTTGTTGACCATGGTATTATTGTGATGGGAATAGGCAAACATCATAAAAAGTGAGAAAAGAACTTCTTTGCTTGCCCATTCTACATTGCATGTCTTGTACAAAAATATCAGTAATAAATAAAAGATTTAGCTTCTAAATGACATCCTTCTATTTCCAAAAGCTCAATCTTCACTCTTTTGAACTAGCCAAGACTAAATTTGGCTTCTTTAGAGAAGATTCAAGTGAAACAAATTCGTGCCTACATCCCTGTATGTTTAACTTGACAATCCAAAGAAGAAAGTTAATAAATGTGTAACTATAGTTAGCACATGCAGTATAAATTCAGTAAAGAAACAAAAACTTCCAAATCAAAGAGAACATGACTCGCAGCTTTTAGCATGGACCATGTCCCATCTTACCGCTGGATTTGAATTCCCTTCACTCAGGTTTCAGCATGACATGCTGCATTTCAAAGATTCACAAAACACAGAAAAGCAAACAAACTAGAGTACTTACACGATCAATGGTTCTCTGATCCCAGGCACTAGACCATGCTGCAGCGGCAGCCCAATATCCAACATGAGCAGTATCTTCTTCAACTACAGGATCAGGAGAGTTTCCATTGATGCTTGTCCATGAGCCTAAAACTACTCCATCAACTTCACCACACTCAATGATAAGATTGCTAAACAGATATGAAGGTAATAGCTGCAGCTTAATTTGTCCTGATGAATTTAAAGTCAATGCATCTCTCTTTAGTGCCTTCTGCCGACCAACAAAAGTTCTCCAGAAACTACTGCTAGGGTACAGCCTCTTTCCAGTAAAAAAGAAGAAAAAGTTCTCATCAGAGTTGATATTCAAAATTAAACCACAACCTTAAAATGGAATGGATGATTTCAAATTTCATGTACAATGGAATGGATGATAACAAATTTCATGTACCTCAATGAGTGATATTTTCTCCAATGTTTCCCATTCAGATAGTCCCAGGTAGCCATAATTTCCCATATCCTCTGCAACTTGAAGACGAAGAGATCTCCTGACCGTGCCGAATAATAGCTGCTTGAGGCAGGTTTCGACATCCTCCCCAAGCCTTTGCAGCGTTGCAACAGCAAGTTCAGTTTCCCCCTGTTTACCATGAACAATTAATACAGAATATAAATCAGTGCACCTTTGGCTTTGTCTAATAAACATAATTAAGGTACCTTTAAAAATAGGTCATAAGCAATAGCTCTTCCAATGTCACGAACTTCACTAAAAGTATCAGGCGGTTCTTTACTGGTCTCTGAATCCCTAGAACGATGAAGATGCAATTGCAGAACTGCCAAAGGGAGACGACCAGAAAGTAGTGCATCTTTAACCACAGTTTTTAGGTCTAAATTATCCAATTTCCATCGAGCAATCATCTCCTTAGGATTTTCAAATGGAAAAACTTTCTTTCCCAAATTACCGACCTGTGGCACAAGAACAGATAATCCATTTGGATCTTCTATATCCAAGTGGGTTCTGAAATCCAAGGAATCCTGATACATCAAAGCAAGCTTCTCGTTATTAGAACCAACAGAAGATGCAGAAACCAGAAGTTCTTGTTGGTTTCGTGTCTCTGATGGCCCAGCATCTGCTGAAACAATTGAAAGCTGAGATTCATCCTGCAATAAAGTTGCCTCCACCAAGCTTAATTCCCCCTTACCATCCACCTATAGCAGTCAAAAACATAATGTGGTTAGCTGCAGATAAGAAACAAACAATTCAAAAGTGTGTAGGAAGCACACAAAAGCATACCAATCCCAGGCCTGTCTTGTTGAATTTTGAGCTCAGTCGATATTGAAGATTCCGAATAATCTCCAAAAGGTGAGCCATATCGTGAAGACTTCTCAAATCCCCCATTTCATTCTGTACCTTATGCGGTAAAACTGGTGGAAGAGAAAGCAAAGGGATCCTCCTAAAACCAGGTAATACATACGCATCTTTCTTACACTGGAGTAACCCACATTTCCGGATCATTTTGGTTGTAAAGTGGCTGGCTAATGCAAGGAGCCTGTGATACAGATTTGAATAATTAAAAAGAGAAAAAATGGCATAACAAAATATACAATAGTTAACCAGTAGGCAATATGATGTAGAACAAGAGGGATCCAGGAAGAAATCCTAGGTGTTCCTTAAGTCCAATGGAAAGTGAAAAAAACTACAAGCACTAGGTGTACAACGCAGATTATTGACACACTGTTGATTTTATTCATTAATAAACATAAAGAGTGGCAGAATCAGGTTTGCCAACCAGTCTAGGTTAAGTAGAGCCTGGATGATCAAGATGATGACGCAAGGTATGGACCAATGGTCAATCTAAACTGTGACTGATCTAGATCATTAAGTAAAACCATGCACTCAAACTCTATTTTTATCATTAATATGAGTAGGTGAAGAAGCATTATCCACCTTCACTTATTTGTCAGAGACAAAGAATCCATAATTGAATGTGGAAAAAAATGTGAATGGAAACTCAGTAACAGCTTGGGAAAAGTACAGAATAGGGTAATGTACACCAGCACACAAACCAAAAAACACCACAAAAGGCTCCTAGCTGCCATAATAGTCCAATTAATAACCCATTGTCAAGAATCAAGTTAAAGAATGCACTTCGAGTCAGACAAGGCAGCGACTCAAGATCCCAATCATTGAAGATGTCAAGAAAGAGCAAGTTATACAAGTTATCATACTGACTTCATCATTCCATGCAAATATAATAGTGCAATTGTGGAGAAAAGCTTCACGCTAACATCATTGTTTCCTCCCATAACAAAAGGTGATTGCTATTCAGTCCAAGAATGAGCCTTAGGTTGAAATATCGAACTCGTAGTTTTTAATCTAACATTTAAAAAGCTCGAACTCAAGTTTTTCCAACTGAGGAAGAATGATGCAATATAGAAGAACAATTTTCAATTTATTTTAAAATATTAGGAATTATTATCTAGCATATCTTTTATAGTTAAGAACTTGTTAGCAATTAAAGACTGTTTAATATTTTATTCTAGCAGAAATTATTTCCATATTTTAATCAGAATTAGAACTCTATCAGGGCTTTTTATGTGCCTATGCGCACATGTTCATTATATTGTGGGGAGAATGTTTATGATTAATTAAGATTGAGAAGTGTTTCATTTTATGTTCTTCCAACCATCTTCTATACAGTATAGTTTCAAATCGTTCAGCCCACCTCTGAAAGGATTTGCCCACGTCTAGAGGGTTTTCTTCTACCCCTCCCCTATTGGGAATTATTCAATCATTTACATACATGCTTACCCTTGTCCCACATCAATGGGAAACAATACAACACGAACCCAACAATAAGGTCAGTAAGATAAGTGGAGATCGGTGGTAGAGGATTAGCACACAAGGATCCTCTTTGGTCAAAGTTTTCTTGGTCACAATTGGGTTGGAAACAAATCAATCCATATACTATTTTTAGTAGCAATCACTTGTGATGAGAGGCAACTAGCATGAACATTGAATTTGGTACCAAATTGGTTGTCCAAGGTTTTTCTCTCTTTTTCTTTTTAAAAAACAAGAAAGAAAAAGAAATGGGATTTTGTGATATGATAACAATCAATGTAGAACAAGAGATCAAGGAGAAAAAACACGAGAAATAGTCTGATGGTTCCTTGATTCCACAAGAAGAGAGCAAGAGAAAGACATTTGACTTCCAGTAATTTGTTAATTCATTCTTGACAAAGCTAATGAAAAACAAAGTTCTGCTTGCATATAGAGGCACCAAAACAAAAGCCCTGACAGAAAATGGTGAAGTAAATTGAATAGGAAAAGGAAAGCATGACAAAGTCCCTGATTAATTAGTAAAAGCCACTTGGTCTTCCATCACAACAACAAAATGCCCTTGGTGAACTGAGCTATAATCCAGACTGAATTACCATTCAAATGCAAGTTTTAGCAGAATTAACAAACAAAACCAGAAGAAGGAGAGCAATGCTCAAGTACATGTAAAAGTTTATGGAACACTGTCTGACTTAACAGCATTTGACTCCTAGCCTTCAAAACTTTTTCAAATGCTTCTTTGACAACGGCAGACTCAGATAGGCTCCCCAAAGCACACAGCTCTAACCAAACAAAGAAAATGTGAACTTATCTCTATCCCTGTCTTCCCCTTTTGTTTTTTTTTACTAGTCTCTAGCCCTTTCAAGTTCAAATTAACCAAACTATTTTAAAAGCAAAAGGAACTAAATATGGACAGATAAAGAACCAAATGTGTACAATATCTGGTCTATCCTGGAAACAAAATCAAAATCAGAAAAACTTGAAGGTCTATCTAGAATTGTAATCGATCAAAGTGTGATTGCCTACTCTATACAAATCAACAATCTCTTAACATGTTCACACATGTTCATAAATATCAAGATCCAGAGAAGATGAATTCTAAAAGAAGTACAATATTTGCACAAACATAAAATTTGACACGCATTAGTCTAAGTGCAAATGGCATATCTTTTAAGCGATCTGCATCATTAATCACAAAAGAACTGTAACCTTGGCACATTGACAAATATGAACAACGTTTACCTTGATGCAGCAGAGACCTCATTATCATTGCTACTTCTATGAGACATCAGATAAACTGCAGCAAAGAGCAATCTCAAAATGCCTTCTTCAGCTAGATTAATGCCTACGAGCATTTCCAGAGATCTGTTGAACCATTAAAAAAAAAAAACAATTTGAATAACTCTCATCCAACCTACTACAGTACTACTACCAACAGAACAACCATAATTTCATCCCTTTTTTAGATTAAATAATTGATCCCCATAATTTAGGATCAAGAAATAGCTGATTTACGTACAAAAATAGTTCCATCCATTATAGACAGGAAATTGGAGTAGTGTGCCCTTAGAAAGCCTATATCCTACTTGGATGTGCACAGGCATTTGACGCAAAAATCCAACCCAGATCCCCCAGAGTCCTCTATGAGGGAATGGTTTTTGGAATTACTCTTTCAAGATCAAAAGCTTCTAGGGAAGTGAATACATGGACTATGGAATCAAAAGAAAAGAAATATCAATGGAATGCAGGACAATTTGTAGTCAAGAGGACAACCAAACCCACCCCCCCCCCCAAAAAAAAAATAATAATAATAAGGAACAATACACAACATATTTGAATCTTAAAATATCTTCTCACAAAAACTAACCACGTCATTCCTAACAGCCTTAGCATTTAGACTAGCTGTCGTTCCGTCCTTTGTATACATAAGCAGGGGTTATGATAATTATTTTTAGTAAGAAATTTTATCTGAATCAGAAAAAAAAGTTTAAAAATTGAGATAAATTAGTTACACCTGCTCCATTAGATTAAAATTTTAGGACTTTGAGAATGTGTCTTTTGGTCATTCCCGAATGAAAATGATCACAGAAAACCAATATCCACCTACATTTGTGCATAGTCATGCACTTTGGTGATTTATGATCATGTTATCAATTCCAAAGAAATAAAAAAGGCACTGGATATAGAAACTTTAAGAACCCACCACCCCCAATAGACAAGTGTGCATATGTACACAGATGCAATAAAAATAAAAAATAAAAAATAAAAATTCTTTAGAATTTACTTATGGTCATGGTGGTTTTTTAGCCACCACTGCTTCAATGCTAAAATACAAGCTTTGCCCGCAAAGCATATGTTTGAGCTTTTTTCACATCCATTAGATGATTTACAACTTTTACATACCGCCACAGCAATGCCAAATAAAACTATTAGTTCGTACATGCATGCACCTGTGAGGGTAACATATAGATACATTTATCATTGATGAATGTACTGTGACAGATCCAAGGACAGAGGAGGCCAGGAACAGAATATTCCCCTCAAACCCGTTTTGATCCCCATAAATAATTCCAAAATATTTACATGCAATGGCACCCCAAAAACGTAAAAGCTAATCGTCCCTCTGTGTGTGTGTGTGTGTGTGTGTGTGTTCATACATGCGAAGACACACATACACAATCTTCAACCATGAACAAAGATATAAACCTTATAACAACAGTTACACATAATAAAGACCATAAAAAATTTTAATTTTTAAACAAGACAATAAATAGAAGTAATAGAGTATAGAATCTTACCGCTCTATTTCATCATATTTCAGGTATGCCAACGCCATCTGTAGCTGCCTCAACCTAGAGATTTTCAACTCCCACCCTGACATGGCAGTGATAAAAATGTTTCAAGTCCATTCAAACTTCAGAAAGAAGCATATCTATGACAGTGCCCAATCACCTTTATATCGTAAATCAGAACCCAGAAACATGACTACAAGACAAGGTGTGAAACTACACGTGTAAACAATTTTGAGAAACTGGAGGATAATTCAAACAGATAAGAAAGGTCTTAAGAGGTAGGAAATAAAAAAAACAGTTTTCACTTGCCCATGCCCTGACATCAAACAACCCACATATGATTTGTAATTCACACAATGGTGAGACACTAAAGTGACCATTAGTTCAGCACTTAGTTGAGCAATGCAGGCACTCGTCGGGTACAGCAAGTTCAATTATTGTTGACCTTTCATATCTTACTGTAAACCACATCCTCCTCGTGATATGAAAAGTCATCCTTTCCAAGTTCAGAAAGAAACAGTATGTAAATAAGTAAATAATGATTACAATTCAGGCCCTACGTAATGAACAAATACTATTTGTGCTCCCTGTACAGGCTCTCAATGCAAAAGGCAGTTAATAGCATTTGAATCCATACTTTGACTATCCCAATTCTATAAAAATCTAAATTACACTTAGAGATACATAATATCCATTTGATCAAAGAAAACAAGGAGACAGAGCCAACACAAATAACTACTGCATATATGTCAAGAGTCAACACAAATAACACATATACAAATAAAGCACAAGGCACCCTACTGCCAGCTCCCCGCGTCACCTCAGGAGTTATGAGCCAAAATGCAACTTGCTCAAGTAAAGAAAGGCATCTTTAAAAAATCAGAACTAATATTTGACAAGTGAATACAATAGAAACATATCCTCTATCATAATTTCATACTATCTGTCTCTTCCATAGTTAATTACGTCCCAAAAAACACAGTAATGACTCTTTCTAGCAGAAAATATTTGCCTTTTTTATGAAAGAACTTCATTGAGGAAGAGAAGAAAATTGCAGTACATCATTGGAGGACAAAACATCCTCTCAAAAACAAAAAAGAATACAGAATACTAACTAACATATAAGACTCCCCATTCTCCAGAAATCACTTAGCAAAACTTTCAAAAACTCCTATTATAAGCACCATAAAGAAGCTAATAAAATTACTGTCCCAAATATGTCGAATCAACAACTGCTTTCGATGAAAGATTCTAGAATAGCGTTCCATCTAGATATGCTCACATCGTATTATTAGCAAACATAGCACATCTACCCAAAGATCAGCCTCTCTTTACCCTCCAAAAACCCCAAACTCATCAAAAGAAACTCCTCCAGGTTAATTCCACACACCCGTGCTCCCAGAAAAATCAGAGAGCGCCTGTTCCACAACCTCCAAGCAACTGGGTAGTGAAAAAGTAGACAACTTGGAAGTTTTTCTGTTAAAATATAAACACAAACAACATCCAGAAACAATTCATTGTGAGGCCTCGCCCATACAACAAGTCATTAGTATTAACCTTGTCAAGAACGACAGAGCAAACAAACATCATAACCTTGGACGCTACCTTAGCCTTCAAAATATAAATAGACAAGAGGCATGTGAACTAAGATAAGAGACATAAGGCATCCAAAAACCGAACTCTTCTTGAAGAAATACAAACCACATCATGAATGTGAAGCAACGAAGCCAAAATCAGTCTTCTCCCACATATTAAGATTTCTATGGAAAAAGAAAGGTCCCAAGAAAACATTTCTCAATGTAGGCACAAAAGTTAGAGATAGGAGACCTGTGATACAAATAGCATTAATGTCCACCATCCAAAAATCTACCCAGAAATGAATGTAAGATCCATCCCCTAATTACAAGAAAGTAAAAGGACACGAATAAGGACAGCTCATTTGAGGTATATTGGTACTAATCTTAGCATTCCAAACATTCAATTAAGAAGCTGAACGACATGGTCTATCTTTGCCGCAAGAAAATAAGACTAGTGAAACCTAGGCAGGGAACATTCTAATAAACAAAATTACCCAAAAAAAAAACTTTGCTCCTCTTCTAACTTAGGCCTACAAAAACATCTTAGCTTACCAAGTGATGCTGCTTGATGTCACCTCTACCTGATCGCAGAGATTCCCACATTAATTTTTAACATTCTATTAGTCAGCCATACAAAGATTGATGACATAGAAGGGTAAACGTATTCGTCCAGCTAAGAGTCAATTAACCAACTCACCAAATGATCCCTTATTGATTGCACCTCCACCTAATCAGAGAAAATCCAGCATCATTTTATTAAATTCTATTACCCACCCAAACAAAGGTTGATAAAAGAATTAAGGACAGACATGCTTTGTAAAGTTAATAACCAGTAATCCATTTGTACCTATAATACTTTTTGTTTCTTTCAATTGGGCACAGAATATGAAGAAGAAATAGCAAGCAAAAAAAAAAAAAAGCATCGAACCTACAAAAGTAAAATAATAAGTGCAGACATGCATGCAAGAGGGGGAAGGGGAGAGAAGTGAAAAGGTAGACAATAAACAATAAAAAAATAGTATTTTTCTTTGTTTTAGAAAGGAAGTAAAAAATGATCTTCAGATGATTTTGGCATTCAAAAAACAAGAGGCCATTTCATTAATGATTCACATTGGAAGCCACAAATAATCTTTAAATGAATAAGACATGTTATAAAAGAGGACCAGTTGTATATTAAAGAACTGGGGAGGAAAGAAAAATACAAAATCGTGACTAGTTGTTATATATTGGGATTCTCAAACACAAAGCCCAAGACTCAGGACCATTTAAGTAAGTTTCCATATCTAGGATCTGTTAAATTCAGGGGAATGCTTTGTTTGCATGTCTGGGATCTGTTAAATTCAGGGGAATGCTCGCCTCAAATGCCTTGGTCTTAACCAAGGCTGCTGCCTAGGTGCTAGGCAAGTGCCGCAATGAAATTGCCTTGCTGGGAGCCTTAGGACTGCCTCATCACCACAAGGCAAGCAACTGACCCCTTGGTAAACTCAAAATACTATCAGCTAAAGACTTCATAAAATTCTCATGGCAAAAAATTACAAGTGCACGATATTCAGTGTTTCAAGTGGGATTAACAAGAGTAAAAAAATAACTGAGCACAAGCAAATCTAGCTTATTTTAATGAGTCAGAATCTTAATTTAAACCAAAACTACAACAGCTAAAAAGGGACGTAGTATGAATCTAGAGCTTATCAAATAAGTATGTAGCATAATGAAATGTGCACATGCATAATGAATTCTATACAGTGAACTCAAAAAATAAAACTAATTGATAACCAATATAAATGCACAACTAGAATTTTACAAGACAACACAGGCAAAAAATGATCCAGCATATATTTGTGGACACCATATCATTACAGACATACAAATATGCTTTATAATGGCAGGCTAGAAAATCAAAAACTTGAACATTCATCTCACCATTTGTCAAACATAAGCGATCTGCCTCTGCCGGACCTTCATTGAGAAGAACTCTATCCAAAACTTCAACTTTCCAAGGTGAGAAGGGTTTGATTGAATCTCTTATTTCCAGCATTCTTTTTACCTGCCGTCCCATGTCTGTATTGATAGTGTGCTGCTGATATCCAACGGTTTCAACAGGAAGGAAATCTGATGCGACAGAAACAGAGGGAAGAACAACTGAAAGACCAATTTCAGTCACCAAATAAAAAAATCCCTGGAAGGTACAACCAACTGCTTCTCCGACAGAAGCTTCTTCCTTCCCTTGGTTACAACACTTGTTAACCCTAGTATTCAAGCTTCTGTCATCATGAACTGCTGAGCTTGTGTGCAGATTAAAATGAACAACCTTAGTGCTTCGATTTGTAGCATCATGCTTCTTAATGAGTCGAGTGATTCCCAAAGGTGAAAAACAGATGTTATCATCTCCACTAAATATCTCTGTAGGAAGAAAAACTTTCCGCATCAGGTGCGAACATACTTCAGAATCATGAAATGTGTAAGAGGCTATCTCAGAAAAACCACTCATCAACAAGTCCTCACACCTATGACAGTTCGAGTTTTGGGTTTTCTGAAGTGCATTTTTTCCAGCATAATCCAAAAAGGAGAATTTTTCATTTCTAGTGGATTGATAATTATATACCCATTGGTGCCCTATGTCAGAAGCACCAACCTTCCAGCCAACCAACATCCCAAGCCCTAAATGTTGAAAATGTGGAAGCAATTTATCATGCGTGTAGTAGTTGTTTGAGAAATAGTCACCAGTACACATGACATATACTACTCCGTATTCATCAACTACAGCTAACAAAGATGTTTGGGACCCAATAAGCAACTTTCTAAACATTCTTTTACCAAGGAAATCAACACATTGGGAGGTTGACTTATCATGAACTTCTTCAACTTGTTTGATCTGCAAATCAGCAGGTATAGCCACTTTTTCTTGCTGCCATAGGCCTGAATGAGGGTTTAGCCCAGAAGCTTGTAAAATATCTACATACGCAACAAGCTCACCAGACATTGCAGCATAAGAGTAGATTAACCCAGAAGCATTTAGGCAAACAAGAAGGTTATCAGAAAAGCAAAAGTCTACCCACTCAGAAACATGGTCTACATTTACCCTCTGCACAAGCTTCACTAAGGAAACCCATTGGATTCCCCAACTGTCTAACTTTCCAACAAGTAGTAGACTTTTTGTCCTGCTTCTTTCACTTTCATTCCCAGAGCTCACAGAAGCAGAATCGATCAGTGTTAAAACAAGTCCAATTAGTTGATGGGAATTGCTGGGGAAAACTCTGGAGCATTTGTACGAACCAATACAAAAATCATCATACCAACCATCAGACTTGGCTATAACTGTCTTGTTCTCTGGATTGAAAACGGTTTCACACTTGCTCTCCTCCCTATTTGTGATGGAGTTGTCATGATGAAGTAGGTTCAGAAGTGGTGAAGTACTGTCAAAAACGCTAAAAGAAACAACCTCTGCAGAGCATGGAAAGGATGTCTTCTCCGGAAACCTGGTGCAGATTTTACCCTCAGATTCAATAGTCTTGACTTCGATGAAAAATGAGTGCAACCACCTCTTCGAAGCAACATCTCTCGACAACTCATCAGCCCGACTTTCCTCATCAATGTCTTGCAGACTTCCTCTATTTCCATTGGCCCTGTCATCAGCTGCGACAGCCGAAGTCCCTTCAGAAGACGAGCCGAAAGAGTCCTGAGCCTTCAGATTTTGAGCTGGTGTAGAGGAAGGGCCCCAATCAACCCACCTCCCTTGCCCAAACTCACCCTCAAGTGCAGATTTAGTTGTTCCACCATCTATATCAGGCTTACGAAAAGCATGCACTGTAACACCATGGCTACTAGACACAAATAGAAACTCTCTAAACGAAGCCTCCTTGTGCTGATTATAAGTATCCCCACATACACCCCAAGCCAATGAATTCACATCACAAACAAAACGATAATTATTAGATCTTGAAAATTCGTGTTCAAGAGAAAAACCATTATCAAAATCCTTTACTGATGCAGAAGTGCATGGAATATCATCCTTCAAATCTGACCTACTAGGCTCTTTCCATGATTCCGAGCTGAAAGCTGCCGAAGATCGACACTGAAGCCTTTCATCATACAAAGATTCTGAGACACTATTATTTACAGATTCCCCTGCAAAAAGATTACAGAATAACAGAAAACAAATCCATTCGTAACCAATACCACAATCACAGCATACAGTAACAAAATACCGAAGCATGAGGATTTTTCAGAGTATATTTACCATCAAATAAAGGAAGGAGCAAGGCTTCACATTGATAAGACAGTAGCAACAATAGCTCCCTCGTCGGCGATATAAAACCCTCGCGAAATTCCGACAAGTCAATATTGAGCTTAGAGGGGCCCCATTTGTGGAGCTGCAGAATTGCCGGACTCTCACCGCCTTGACAGTAATCCATCTAAAACAGTAGAAAGATAATATCAATTAATTCAAGCATTTTATGGAAATAAAAATCATTAATTCATTAATCGCTACCGAAGCTCGCATAAAACTTCAACTATTCCATTATATTAATCAAATTCAAATTATTAAAATTTACAGCCATAATCCGCCGGGGGGCGCGGGGGGGGGCGCAAATAATGATAATAAAATGACAAATAATTAAAAAAACAAAAAGTTTACATTTCTTCTAATCGGAGAGAGAAAAAAAAAACCTGAACCTGTTAAGCGAATCGGTTTTACTCGATTAACGCCACCTCTGCAAAACGCAAGGGTCTCTTGCTCTTGTTCGTTCTATCACTCTGTAAAATTTTAGATTCTCCAACAGCGCAGTGTTTTTTTTTCTTTTTTTCTGTTCTGTCTCCGTCTATTTTTTTTCTTTTTCCTTTTTTCTTTTTTTTTTTTTTCAGAATTTGAAGATGCGTGCGCCGTTTGTTCTGAAGGGGGAGCCAGAAGAGGGGCATTTTAGCCAATTTGTTAGTTATGTGCAACCGTCCAACGAAGTTGGTTCTGGCTTTCTGTCCCGGAGTTGCTTTCCTTTTTAACGGTGACAAAGCATGAAAACTTCAAATTATTTTCTTAATCTATCAAAAAAAATTTGAACATCAACTAACGAGCAATCAAGTTTATTTATAGTTTTTAAAATTAAAAAAAGAATTAGAATGAACTATGAATAATTAAAAGTACATAAATTGTAAATATTAGCCATTATTAAATTAAAAAAAATGCTCTCTATAGTATCCCAGTCGTCTCTCCCTATTGGAGAGTCCGAAAATCAAGAAAATCTTGACTCTAAGCATACCAAGAAAAAATTTTGTATACGAGAGAAAGATATAATCACGAGTTGTAATGACCTTCCAAGTACTACGAGAGTGTTGAATTTCAAGCATACAATGATTGATGATATGAATTCAAAAAGTTAGAAGAATATGGAATGGTTATCTATGGTTGAAGTTGTAGTAAAGGAAGGAGACATCACCGTAATAGAGAGATCATGTACAATCCATCGAGTTGTCCGACATATTCAAGGAGCGACTACAAAAACCATAGGAGCATTCCGTGGTAGTGAAGGTACTCGGGCGAAGTGTAGGATACAAAGTTCTATGTGTTCGGCTCGAGCAATATAGAATGCGGCTAAGGCCTTTCGAGTAATTGATATAGAGAATGAATTTTATCTAGTCAAATTTTTTTGCAAACGAGATTACCTTCATGCTTTGGTGGGAGGGCTTTGGACTATTCTCGATCATTGTTTGACTTTACAACTATGGGATCATTCTTTTAGAGCTTCAATAAATAGAATTAAACGAGCGATTGTGTGGGTCGATTCTTGGACCTTCCTTTAGATTGGTATCATCTTGGTATCCTTACAAGCTATGGGAAACATGATGGGAAAAAACATAAAAATAGACTACACAAAACAAACTAATTCAAGAGCTAAGTTTGCAAGGAGTCATTATGGACATCGACATTGAAGCACAAGTAAAAAGCTCTATCCGGATCGATGGGATGGTATAGGTAGTTACATATGAGGGATTACCACAAGTTTGTTATACTTGTGGGAGGGTGAGTTATAGTATCTTGTATTGTCCTAAGAAATCGACCACCAACGAACCACACTAGTCGGAGATCCGGTGGAGAATATGAATTGAATGTGGGATTAATACAACGATTATAAATTTATAAAATTTGAATTAAGGTAATGCCAAATATGGTCCCCGGTTACATGCGCCAAGCAAAGAACAAAAAGAGACGCGAGGTTGAGAAAGTGTCTCTAAGTATAGAAAAATTGAGAGCCCAAAGTGAGGAGAAGAATTGATCTCGGTTTAGGGTATTATCATCCATAGCAACAAACCCACAATCGGCCTAAATAAACTCGGGTACAACCCATGAAATAACTCTAGCTTACCCAAGCCAAGCCCATTTTAAAGTTGGAAAGCTTGTTACCACTAAAGATAAAGTTACAGCTAAGCTTATACCCCCAACAACTTATTCAAACACATGAATTAGAACACTCGAAACAATCATGCTTTCTCCTACCCGTGACTAAACCTAGAACAATCAATTCATGTTTACTCGTAAAAAAGAATCCCACCTAAAATATATCCATTACCATCGAAGATGAGAACCAAATAGTTGTAGTCATTTCAAATGAGAAGAATGAGATTTTAGAGGAGGAGGAGGTTTTGAAGTGGATGAGGATTCCGCCATTAGTGTGTACATCGAGGATAGGAAAGTGCCATTTGAGATTGAGCTAGTTGGGCATGACGATTTACCTCAAAGAGTCATTAAGGTCCTACTAGACATCTCTTCGACTATCGAGGTAAGAAAAAGAAGAAGGACACTTTCAAGCACGGGAAAGAGGCGCTAAAATCGATTATTTTAATTTGTAAGCCAACTCGAAAGAACATTGTCTCTTCCTCTAGTACTACCTTCAAGTTGAAAAAAGTGATGATAGTCGATCCTAAGGAGCGAGTCAAATTGTTAGATTCGATAGGTTTTGGTTTGGAGAGTGGGGTTAATGTTCATAGCTCATCCACCATGGCTTAGTCGGTTTCCGCAGTCTCTATCGGCTAGTTAACTCAATGAACTTATTGTTTTGGAATTGTTAAGGTGCTAAGCATGATTTATTTAGAGCCTCTTTCTATGAGTTAACTAGATTACATAGGCCTAACGTGGTGGCTATTCCGAAGCCAAAGATTAGTGATGTTAATACTTTGGTGGTCATTAAGTGATTAGGTTTTGCCAAATCACATCATATGGAAGCTAATAGATTTTCGAGTGGCATTTGGGTGTTATAGAAAGAGGAGAGTGTTGATGTACATATTCTACATAACCATAACCGAGTATATGCACATAGAGATTAAGTGGAGAGACAATGCTTTCCTTTTGATAGTTGTTTATGCAAATCCAATGCGCCATATTCGGACTAATTTATGGAAGGAATTGTGAAGGTTGTACGAGCAAGCTAGCATGCCACGAGTAGTGGGAGGGGATTTTCATGCTATCTTATACGGATGGAAAAATCGGGAGGTAAGGGTTTTAATAAGTAGGGCTTTTAAGAATTGCATTCAAGATTATATATTGATAGATTTAGGGTATAAAGGTCCTTATACATGGAAAAAAGGTGAATTATAGAAAAGCCATGATAGGGTGATGTGTAATGAAGATTGACGACTTGCATTCCCGAATGCAAAGGTTTATCATTTACCTTGCATCAAATATGATAACAAATCCCTTTTATTGCGTTTGGATAGTAGCAATTAGCTACCTGAGCCACAAAAGACATTCGGATTCCAAGTCTGTTTGGTTACTAAACCCGGACTTTTCGAGTTTGTGAGGAATATATGGAATAATTCTATTCAATTCATTACGGTCATAAGCAATTTTATTACACGAGTGATTATATGGAATAGGAAAACCTTTGGCAACATATTTGTTATGAAAAGGAAACTAAATATAAGGTTAGTTAGGATTAAAAGAGCACCGAGTAAGCCCTCTAACCCTTTTCTCTCTTGATTAGAATAACGAGTTAAGAAATGAGTATGAGAACATTCTTCTAAAAGAAGAGTTATACTGGTATTAGAAATCTAGATGTGATTGGTTGGCTTACGAGGATCACAACATAAAGAATTATTATACCTCTACTATAATTAAGAAAAGGGCTTGAAAGGGTAGAGAGGTTAAGAGAGAAGAATAGGACCTAGTGTAAAAATCAAGATAAGATAATGTATTTGGTTCTTAATTACTATAAGAAATTTTTCACTATGGAGGCGAGATAGTCAGGTGGAACCTTTAAACATGGGATTTTTTTCCTCATATGGTTGATTCTTTGATACACTCTTTATCGGTCCCTATAAGTATATCGGAGGTTCGAGATGCCCTGTTTGATGTGAAGCCGTATAAAGCTCCTAGGTTAGATGGTTTGCATGCTGCTTTCTTTCAATCCAAATGGGATATTGTCGGTCGACCTTTGTTTCATCTAGTTTAGAGGATTTTCCTACATGAATTTTAGGATAACAACTTAAACATAGCACTTTTAATGTTTATTCCTAAAATTAAAACTCCGAAATAAGTGGTTCGGTTTCGATCAATTGGCTTATGCAATGTGACTTATAAGGTCATCACAAAAGTAATTGTTAACCGGATGAAGACTTTCCTATCTATAGTGATTACCCCTACTCAAGTCGGCTTTGTACCTAATCGAAAGATTACGGATAATGTAGTTATTACTTAAGAGCTAGTGCATTCGATGTAAAAGAAAAAGGGCAAGAATGAGAGGTTGGCTATCAAGATAGATCTTGAAAAGGCTTATGAAAGACCGAATCAAGACCTTATTCGGATGCTTTACTACATGTAGGAGTCCCTCATTACCTCCGTTCAATAATAATGAAGTGCATATCATCGGTATCTCTCCAAGTTGTATTCAATGACGGAAATTCTAAATCTTTTATCCCATCTTGAGGTATTTGATAGGGTGATCCTTTATCCCTATATCTATTTGTTTTATGCATAGAGAGATTGAGCCATTTGACCAATATAAAAGTTCGGAATAGAAAGCTATAAGTCGATTCTCTTGAATCTAAATTGACCTCCAATCTTTTATTTATTTTTTACGGATGATCTTATACCATATGCCGAGGTTGATTTAATGTAGTTAAAAGTAGTTATGGAAGTGCTTAACAAATTTTGTAGAGCTTTCGGGATAAAAAGTGAATGTAGCAAAAAAGCCTTTTTTGCAATGCTAATATCTTAAAAGGTAAAACCAAAATGCTTAGCGAGAAAATCTAGCTATCGGTTAAGCGATGACTTGGGCTTTTATTTAGGTGTATCAACTGCATCATGGCAAAGTGAATAAGGAGACATATGGCTTTGTGCTTGATAAGGTTGCTAGAAGATCGTCTAGTTGGCAAGCCAAACATCTTTCTCTTGCGGGTAGGATAATGTCGACTCAATCAGTCATGTGGGCTATGCTTGATGTATAGTATGTAAACCATCAAATTACCGAGCTTCCATAGTGACTTTTATTGACAGATTATATAGGGATTTTATGTGAGGCGACTACTGTTTCAGCAAAAAAATCCATTTGGTTTCTTGGGAAAACATTTGTAAACCTAAGCAATTAGGTGGATTGGGCTTAAGAAACTTGAGTAAGGTAAATGATGCTTTGTTAATCAAGGTGGGTTGGAGTTTTGTTACAAATAGGATTGTTTGATGGGTTTAACATTTTATGCAACAAGTATAAATTCACGGTATAAATCGCCTAACTCAATTTAAAGACATGGTGCATCTCATTTTTGGAGGAGTATTAGTCATGTATGAGAGCATGTTTGTAGGGGTGTTTCGTTGGTTTGTTGGGAAAGGTAATAGAGTGAAGTTTTGGAAGGATAGGTGGATGTACTGGTTTGAGTCATTTACAAGGGCTAACTACTACTTTGGTTCCCACAATCTATTTGGATGATACTATAAACCAATATGTCTAAAATAAGGAAACTTAGATGTGGGATAATTTGCATAAACTCTTCCAGACTTTCATTTTTTTTAGAATTACAAGTTCCTTACCACCTAGATTAGACGAGAGGATAGGATAGCCCATGTTGGGCGTACACTAGTAATGGCCGATTTTCCATCGCTCTACCTATTTGACTATTACACACGTTGATATGGGTAGTATTTTTAGGTTTTGGAGACTAATGCAGGGATGGAATAGGCCATAGAGGATCCGTAGTTTTCTATGGTCGGTTATACAAGACTATTTACTTACTAATGCTCAAAGACAATGTTGATATATAAACGCTATTAGCTACTTGCTCGGTATGTATTTTTTCTTGAAACTATCTCACATGTTCTGCAAGATTGCTCTTTTGCCCAAGAATTTTGAAAGGAATACAAGGCAAATCAAAAGATTAAAAACTTCTTTACTCTAGGCTTAAGGGATTGCTTTGAGACCAACATAAGCATTAAAATGTCAATTCCTATACGTGCGATGTCATGGTGCACTTGGTTTAGGACATGTTACTAGTTCTCATGGTCTTAGTGGAATAAAAGATGGTTTAATGATAATTTTGTATGCCTAGCGAGTTCGATAAACATTATCTATCGCTTTGCCATACACATTATACATAGTGTGACGATGCTTGAATAACCCGGGTAGCAAACCTCGGCCTCAATAAGAAAAAATGATTAATTTGCGGTATCTAGTTGTGGGTTGGATGAAGTTAAATACGATGGAGCGATACGGATGGATTCAAGCTTTTCGACGAGTAGGAGGGGTGCTTCAAGATTCCAATGGATGCTAGTTGTTTGGTTTTTCCTATAATATTGGCTCGTGTTTTGTTTTATGTATAGAGTCATGAGGTATCCTTACCGTGCTGTAGAGATGGCTTGGAATATAGGGTATCATCGTGTTGTTTGAGAAACCGACTCTTTATTGGCTATTCGTTTAGTTATGGTTGTAAAAAGGAAGATAGGTTTTTATAGTACCCTTGTGATAACAATTTGGGAGATTCTAACAAAGAACTAGCAAGTCTAGATAACCCATGGTTATAGGGAATCAAATAGATTGGCGAGCACTTGCTTTTTCTTACCTCTTGGCATCACGTATTTTTCGGATGTACTAGTGGATTATGTGGCACTACTTCAAGAGGATATTAGGCGAATAGCTTTCTCGAGATATTGTACTAGTTAATCATATTGTCTAGGCCTATGGCTCTCTATTTGATAAAAAAAAGTACATGAATTGTTGAAGCAATTGCAAACCCGGAGTGGTACCCAAACTACCGGAGGTCGAGGCCGAGGACGCGACTCTATGGATCCGAGACTCGTATGTGTGCATTGCAATAGATGACATGAAGGGGAATGTGGAAGATTGAGCTGGTAGATGTTTCCACTGTGGGTCTCTAGATCACATGATTCGAGATTGCTTAAAAAGAAACGGAGTGAGCGGTACCGCATCCGAGTCCATTGTTCGAGGGCCAAGGCCGAGTAATGTGAATGTCTAGTATGGAAGAGGTAGAGGTCGAGGTAGACCGGAAATGTCACTATGACACAAGGTGGAGCTAGAGCCGAGGCTCAAAGTAGCCAATCTCAAGCTCGAAGCACGTGTTTATGCAATTCCTCGACAATAAGCGAGTGGTTGCATCGAAAGTGGTGACGGGTAAATTACTTGTCTCTAATATTGAAGCTTATGTTTTAATTGATCTCGGAGCCACGCATTCATTCATGAAACCCGCATTTGCATCCCGAATCCATAAATGTGTTGAACCCCTTGAATATGATCCGCATGTTAGTACGCCACTTAGGAGAATTACTTGAGGTTAATAGGGTATGTCGGGATTGTGTGGTACGGATAGGAGATACCGAATTAGATGCTCGATTTATTACTCATGTTCTTCTATGATTTTGATGTCATTTTGGGGATGGATTGGTTAATAAAGCATCATGCTATAATGAACTATTTTACTAAAGAAGTTGAATTTGATTTGCCAAATCAAGCAAGACTAATTTTTTAAGGAGATCGAAAAATTATACCTACTTATTTAGTATCCGCA